TCAGCAATATAACGCCCGCCCACAAAGCTGTGGCTCGATCTCAGTAAAGGGCCAACCTATTACCACGATGTTGATGATAATACTAGTTGGTGATAGTGGTGGGCAGCTCCTAGTTGAAAGCCTGGTGGAAGAGCTCCGTCTTGCAGGCCCTGCGGAACTGTACAAGGTCCCACAGGGCCCTGATCTCCTCTGGGAGCTCATTCCACCAGATAGGAGCCGCCACTGAAAAGGCCCTGGCCCTAGTAGCAGCAAGCCTGGCATCCTTAGGACCTGGAGTGATTAAACGATGTTGTGACCCTGACCATAGTGCTCTCTGGGGTATGTACGGGGAAAGGCCGTCCCTCAGGTATGTCAAACCCTAGCCTTGTAACTTGTGGATTTTTGCATAATTATATTGGGAAGTAATTTTTGACATCATAAAAATATCTCCATACTACATGTTTTTGAATATTGCTCAAAATATATTCTACACTGTTTTTGTCCTATTTGATACCCTTTACTGTGTATCTCCAGTTTTTGTGTTTTGATTGCAGTACTTGTTGTGGAGAGAAAAGGTGAGCAGTTAGACAGAACTGACACGGGGAGTGGTAACAACCATATGGTGAATCCAAACAGACTTCTCATCTTTGTAATCTAAATTTCTGCCTGGTGCATCCAGTATGAGCTGGCAACCATTTCAGCTTCCAGAGATGCAGTCTTCCGTATTCAAAACAGGATTGCTCATTTAAAATCATTAGCTGCCATGGATAGTGTTCATGCGCATCTCAGGTGTCTCCTCTTGGATAGGCTGCTTGGAATGATTTCTTGTGGCTTACCCTTGAACTGGGAGAAGGCTGCAGGTCAGATTCTGTAAGAGTATGGAGTGGCTGGTGTGAAGGTATCAGCGATTTCAGTTTTTCTGAACAGTGTCCATTTACAAGGTGAACGGCACAGTCCTCTGTAAAGCAAGCTGTCCTGTTGCAGGTATGTCACTGTTGCCCAGTGATTGGACTGGCAACTGGGCATGCTGGGAAATGGTGACCCTTTGTCCTGGCTTGCACAGCTCTGAAGGAATAGTGGACGGGCTAGTGTTCCATGTTCCCACTGGGTAGTGACTATCACATCACTGCCAGCAGCATCTTAATAGATCAAGATGGGTAACCGTGTTAGTCTTGTCTGTAGCAATAGAAAAAAGCAAGAGTCCAGGAGCACCTTAAACAAAACAAAATTGCTGGCAGGGTAAGACCTTTCGTGAGTCACTGCTCACTTCTTCAGATCTGAAAAGAGCAAGAGTCCAGAAGCACATTAAAGACCAACAAAATTTGTGGCCCGGTAGGAGCTTTTGTGAGTCACTGCTCACTTCTTCAGATCTGAAAAGAGCAAGAGTCCAGAAGCACATTAAAGACCAACAAAATTTGTGGCCCGGTAGGAGCTTTTGTGAGTCACTGCTCACTTCTTCAGATCTGAAAAGAGCAAGAGTCCAGAAGCACATTAAAGACCAACAAAATTTGTGGCCCGGTAGGAGCTTTTGTGAGTCACTGCTCACTTCTTCAGGTATATGAAGAACTGAGCTGTGACTCATGGAAGCGCCAACCCTTAATTGGCTCCTGGACTCTTGCTCTTTTCTACAGCAGCATTTTTAACCGTCCTCTGACTTTTGGTTGGCCATCCATCATCCTTTCTCCCCCCTGCCCCACAAAGGCCATGTATTCTCCCTCCCCGCTGCTTCCCTCTTACAGATTTAGGAAATGATTACTGCAGCCACCCAGCCACCCCAAGTCGGGTCCCAAGTGTACCACTGTCCCCTTCAATTAATTAGGAGCTCCGGTGTTACTTCAAGTGCCCATTGCCAAGACACCACTGAGAGAAGCTTCGTTCCCCCTCTCAAAAAAACCAAAGATGGCCAAAAAAAAAAAAAGCCCATCACTACTAGTTCTGAAGAAGCACGTTTGTCCACAAGTTACATATCCAACATTTAGGTTTGGCATTTTAAGAGTTTCCACAATGGTGAGATCTTGAAATTCTGTTGCCAATGCGCATCTCTCTTGTTCAAGAAACAGGAAACTGCAAAGATTTTTTTCTCCCTTTCTTGTTAGCTATCCTAGGAATGCACAACTTGATAAGCAGTGCTCAGTTTTGTGACATCATAGGAAGTAGCAACGGAGTTGGCAACGAAAGCTTCACAAGTGAGTATACACACTGAGGGTTTCGATAAAACTTGGGGTTCTGTTTCTTCGCTGTTGGGTGATTGGGAGACTAAACTGCAAAATACTATTGTGTATTGGGTTGTAACCCATACAACTTCATATAACTAGAAGAGATTTCAGTTCAAACATTCCAGCTTATGTGGTTTCCTAATGCAATAGAGTGTAGGCCTGCTTTAATCTTGTGCTGTGGTCATGTGGGTATGTTGAATATATTTGGGTATTGTTATTATAATATATAATGGCATTCTAGCTTCTGAACTGCTCTTTGAGCCAAAGATTACGGGGAAATATAAAGAACAGACATGTCACTTTTGCTACGAGGTCAGTCATTATTCATTGGGACATGGCTAAATCACTTGACAGTATAAAGCAGAAACTGCTGTGACGTAAAATGTAAGCTTAAATCTTTTAAAAGAAAGAATTCAGCTGCTTTCTAGATTACATTGGCATGGGCTTCAGTGGTGAAAGGAAAATTTATTTTATACTGCATTTTTAGCCTGGTCTTCCTCCAAAGAGACTAGGGCTGTATACATGGCTGTTTGGTCTCCTCCACCCTCTATTTTTATCCTTCCAAAGTTAAGAAAGAAGGGACAGGCCAAAGAATGCCCAGTGAACATGGCTGAGTGGGGATTCGAATTGGGTATTCCCCAGTCCTAGCCTGACACTCCAACCATTATACCAGACTGGCTAAGTTTTGTATTTCTTGCTTTATCAACTTAAACGTTCACAGTACAGTCTCTTCTCCGACCCTGTTTCTCAGTGCTGTAACATAGTTGGAAATGTTATAATGGTAAGGTGGTGTAATGCCAGGATCTGCGTTGAAGAACTGGCATCATTTACGATGTAATTGACTCGCTTTCCTTCTCGCCCCGTTCAGATGTAGTCAAAGGGGAAAAGATCACAGCGGTCTTTGATGAGCCACCAAACCCTACAAACGTGGCGGAGACTTTGCAACGGATAAAAGAGAATGATCCTCACCTTACTGACGTTAACCTGAACAATATAAAGGTGATCGTTGAGAGATTACATTTCTATGCACTCTTTTGGGGATAAATGATGTCTTTTTAAGAAAAGCTCTGCATTTGTGGGAACACTGTCTAGGATTTTTGACCGAAAAACGTTTACAGCATCGTATCAGTTTCCACACTACAATAAAGATCTAGCATTCACATTTGTCCAGCCTGCTGGCGGGCTTCTTCTCTCTCTTTTTCCTTCCCTTTAAAACTGAAGTGTGGGAAGGGGTGGGGGAGACACATCATAATCTGTGATATCTCCAGTGACTATTAATTATGTCCTTATTACAATTTAAGAACATCCCTATTCCGACCCTGAAAGAGTTTGCCAAGGCCCTGGAAACAAACACCCATGTGAAGCATTTTAGTCTTGCTGCTACAAGAAGCAACGACCCTGTTGCTGTGGTAAGTAAGCTGGCTGGTGCGCTGTGTGTTGGGAAGGGGGCTGCTTAAAACATCTGAGTTAAGGTAAACGTGTCTGAGCCCTGCCCTGGATAGCCCAGGCTAGCCCAATCTCGTCAGATCTCAGAAGCTAAGCAGGGTTGGTGCTGGCCAATATTTGGAAGGGAGCCCACCAATGAATACCAGGGTCGTGACGTGGAGGCAGGCAATGGCAAACCACCACCTCTGATGAGTGTCTCTTGCTGTGAAACCCCTACAGGGTCACCATAAATCAGCTGCGACTTGACAGCAAAAAAAAGAAAGAAAGAAAAGTGTTTGAAATACCTGTAGAGTCAGGCTGTTTCTCCCTTGTTAGATGGAAAAACTGACATCCGGCAGGAACTTCAACAAAAAAAAATGGAAAGTCAGTGATTGTATACTTAACAGATTCTGATATCCTTCTCACCAAGAGGTTATATGTATCAGCATTTATGCACCGTTACTGCCAGGGACCAATGCACTTAACAAAAGTGGCCAATTTTATGGCCAGAAGCTTAGGCCTGCTTGCAGTGAACACTGTCCTTAAATGAATCGTGACAATTATTGACTATGGAGACCCCACAATAGCAATCTAAGTTCCTGGAACAATGGTTGCCTTTTCTGGACCACACAACTAACAGAAATGACACGGATTCAGCAATTCCTCCCAACGATAGTTTCTTAGCAGTATTCTGAGCACCAGTTGCAGCTAATTTCTTTTTTAACACAAATGTTCCTGTTTTAAAAAAACAAGCTCTCGTTCTTTAAACGGAAGCTGTCACATACTTTAAGAACATAAGGGAAGCCATGTTGGATCAGGCCAATGGCCCATCCAGTCCAACACTCTGTGTCATACAGTGGCCAAACCCCAGGTGCCATCAGGAGGTCCACCAGCGGGACCAGAACTCCAGAAGCCCTCTCACTGTGCCCCCCCCAAGCACCAAGAAGACAGAGCATCACTGCCCCCAGACAGAGTGTTCCGTCTATACCTTGTGACCAATGTTCCCTCTAAGCTGTGGAGTCTTGTGAGCAAAAATTCTACTTTGTGAGCTACTGGCATTCAGGCTGTGAGCGAGCGATTTGGCTACTGCATGAATTAGTTTGCTCCAGAGCCGTCCTTCCTGAGCTGGGACAAAAATGTGTGAGCCGGAGGCTAAAGAACTCAGCTTAAAGGGAACACTGCTTGTGACTAATAGCTGCTGATGGACCTCTGCTCCTTGTGTTTCTCCAATCCCCCCTTGAAGCTGTCTATGTTTGTAGCTGCCACCACTTCTTGCCACCTCTTTCTAAAGCCAGCTTCAAAAAAACCCCACCCAAAACCTCAGGTGGGTGGAATCTAGTCCTTCCCCGACTGCAGTGCTACTGCAGTGAATGGCCTGTTGAACACGGACCCGATTGCTCTGTGTTCCGTGAGATTTCATTGCTGCGTCTCGTGTTCCAAGGCTTTTGCAGACATGCTGAGAGTGAACAAGACCCTGAAGAGCCTCAATATAGAGTCCAACTTTATCACTGGAGTGGGCATGCTGGCGCTGATCGATGCCCTGAAAGAGAATGAAACCCTGATGGAGATCAAAGTTCACAACCAGGTAAGGTGTCATTTTCCCTCCCCTCATAGCTGAACGTGAAATACCTAGAAACATGTGCTCCCTCTAAGCTGTGGAGTCTTGTAAGCAACAATTCTCCTTTGTGAGCTACCGGCATGATAGTGGTGAGCGAGCGATTTGGCTGCTGCATAAATGAGTTTGCTCTGGGGCCATCCTTCCTGAGCTGAGACGAAAATTTGCAAGCTGGAGGCTAAAGAACTGTGAGCTGGCTCACACTAACTCAGCTTAGAGGGAACACTGGTTAGGACTGAGTAGAATGGTGAAAGTAGTTCTGAGAGCTGAAGAAGGGGTGTGGGGAGCTTAGGACTTACCCCGGAGAGCGCCCTGTTCTTCCTTCACGGCAAAGTACTTTCAAAATGGAAGGCTGTGTCATAGGAAGTTGCAATAAAGCCTGGGCTGTGTTGCATTTCTCTCCTTTCAGACTTCCCCTCAAAGTACAATGGATTAGGGAGGAGTCTTCAGAGTCTCCAAAGCAATGGTCTTTGGCTGACGTAGCCCTTTAAGAATAGACATTTTTGTTTGAGTTCTATGTTGTAATCTTCCTCTGTTGAGCTCACGGTTCTCCACGTCTCCATTTTATCATCACAACAACCCAGTGAGGTAGGTCGGGTTGAAAGAGAGTGAATGGCCCGAGGTCACCCAGTGAACATGGGGATCTGAACCTGGCCTTGGCTGGCACTCATTTTGGTGTAGTGGTTAAGAGTGCAGACTCTAATCGGGGAGAACCGGGTTTGATTCCCCACTCCTTCCCATGCAGCCGCTGGTGTGACCTTGGGCCAGTCACAAGTTGTTTCAGAGCTTTTTTTCTCAAGAGCCGTTCTCGAAAGAGCTCTCTCAGCCCCACCTACCTCACAAGGTGTCTGTTGTGGGGAGGGGAAGAGAAAGGAGATTGTAAGCCGCTCTGAGACTCCAAGTGAAAGGCGGGGTTTAAATCCAGTCTCCTCCTCCTCCTCCTCCTCCTTCCCCCCACTACTACACATTTATATTCCAAGCCACCTCGAGCTCCATAGGGAGGAAGGCAGCTAATAAAATGTTTTAAATAAATAAATGTGCCCTTTGGTTCTGCCTTGGTCTTGTACTGCAATCCACTGCAATCCATCAATTTCCTCAAGGTAGAACATACTCCTACATGGTAAAGTCTTCCAAATAACGGGCGAACAAGTTCAATATCAAGTAGGAGTATGTTCTACCTGGAGGAAATTGATGGATTGCAGTGGATTTAACCACGGAATGGGAAGAAACACCTTGTTGAGGTTTTGATGTTTGGAAGAAGTTCTTCTTACGAAACGGAAATTTAATTCCGGAGAATTTCGCCCACCTGGAATAAAAAGAGATCAGATGATATGTTCTGACTTTATTATTGCTGTAATTTGAAAGATTACAAATGGTAAGATTATAAGCGCTTTTTGCATCTATTACAGTTTTTTGGTTATTCATTCTTGTTGACTATACGAACTGTAACCCCCTACCACCTGGAGGTTGACAACCCTCATTGTCAGCATGGCTGATTATACAGTCCAGGTAGCTGCCTTCTAAATTTATTACTGTTCCTTAAAAAAAAAAAAAAAAAACCTCCACGCCCAACCCTGTATATATTTTTAAATGTTTGCTTCCGCCGATGTACTTGAAAATCTATGAATAAATCTGTTTTGACAGCCAAGACAGGATGTATTTTTTGGACTTGCATTTTGCAGTCTCTGCACGTTGACAGAACTGCCTGCATCTGCCTTCTGCTAATGCCGTTCCTCTAATTAGATGTACGCTTACAGTAAAAAGTACATTTAACACACATGATGAAAGAATTCATTACAGCCCTTAATGAACGTAGCGAGACTAATTGCCTGAAGGTTTTGTGGGCTGCCGTGTGTTAATTCTCCTCCCAGAGGTTTGCAAACAGAAGACAAATTTTAAGGCTCCTTCTGTTATCGAGGAGATCGTTACCGAACCTGCTCTGCATACTTTCCCACCCTTTTACAACCAGACCCATTGCCTTGCCTTATTGCCATCGTTATTAACATCCAGGCCCGCAGCCAGGATTTCGTGGCTGGTGGGGCAATTTTTTTTCCTGGTGGGGCTGCCATTATTTGCCATAGTGAAGGGGGAGTGGCGCGCACCCCTCTCCCTCCCTCCTGCAAGATTTAAAGGGTTCATTGTTGATCAACGGGGAGCACAGGGCCCGCCAATCAGCTGGAGGGCCCTTTAAATCTTGCAGGAGGGAGGGGGTGCATGTCACCCCCCACTTCTTCCCAAAAGCATTTAAAGGATCCCTTTAAATGCTTTTGGGGAGAAGCGGGGGCCTTTAACAAGGGGGGCCTTTAAGGAGGAGGAGATTGGATTTATACCCCACCCTTCACTCGGAGTCTCAGAGCGGCTTACAAACTCCTTTCCCTTCCCCTCCCCACAACAGACACCCTGTGAGGGGCTGAGAGAGCTCTGACAGAAACTGTTCTTTTCAAGGACAGCCCTTGTCAGAACTATGGCTTGCCCAAGGTCATCCAGCAGGTGCAAGTGGAGGAGTGGGGAATCAAATCTGGCTCTCCCAGATTAGAGTCCGCGCACTTAACCACGACACCATACTGGCCCTGAATAGCCCCACTGTAGCTACGGGACATACATAGGTGGTTGGGAATCCCACCAGGGGCATGCCTCTTGTCACCTTCTGATCATTTGCTATTTTGATAATGTTACGATGTCTGCTAATTATAACAGAGGCAGCAGTTTGGAACTCCTGTGGAAATGGAAATTGCAAAGATGCTTGAAGAGAACACAAAAATCCTTAAATTCGGATACCACTTCACGCAACAGGGACCACGAACTAGGGCAGCAGACGCAATTACAAAAAATAATGATTTAGGTAAAGTATTTCTGGTGGCATTTGATCATGGGAGGAACAAGCCTTGCACAGAGATGGGAGTTGATCTGCGCCGTAATAAAAATGTCCTATTGATAATGTTGTCTTTCAGAGTCGGCTCTTCTCGGTGGTATACTTCTAAACATACTCTTCATTGAGATGTAATTTGTTTGTTACGAAATAGCCTGGGAAGCCAAGCTTGCAGACTCTTTCATATGCTGCTCAGGTACTGAAGACTTCCTGGTACCCAAGAAACTGCAGTTTGTCGTGCCTTCCCAATCAGGCCAAAGAATAAACCACAGTTTGTCATTTTCTCTGATTTAGATGTTCTAACAAACTACCAGCGTCTTCAAATATCTGAGCCGTGCATGAGGGAAGGAGGGAGAGGGAACCTGAAGACTTCTGAAGCTTGTTTTTGTAATGAACAATTGTAGCCATTTCACACGTCGCAAATCATTTTAAAATGAATTTACATTTCTTGTGTTGTTTTATGGACCTCTGGTATTCAGATGTAAAACACTTGAGTTTGGGTACAGCGGAGGTCAGTCATAGAATTCTGTTTGTATCTTTTAGTTCTAAATAATAGGACTATATTTTAGAGAATCCTCCTGATAGTTTCTGCCTCGATTACAGCTGTGAAAAAATACTGGTAGTTAGTAAGATTGCAACACTGATAGAGTATTACTCTGGGCATTCAGTTAATTTCAAAATTGTGTACTTTAAAATGTACTGCCCAGCACCTATTAACCATAGGATATTCCAGGGCTGAATTTTTCTGTACCTGCTGTGCATGCTCTCTGGATTAATTCAGACATCACCCCAAGCCACGATTAAGGGAACTTCTCATAATACTTTATATCCCACTTTCCAGGTAAAATTGGCTTTTAGCAGAATGAAAACAAAACAGAACACAGCCAGACATAAATAACATGATGATTCATTACATTGTAACTGGCAGAGAGGATTTTTGAATCTAGGAATGATGGAGGATTTTTGGATATAGGAACAATGGAGGAGAAGGTGCTTGGCTGCTTCCTTCCTCCCCACTAAGGCCCCATCATTGGAAGCTGCAAGAAGGGGACTCTCCAATAGAGTGCCAGGCCATTTGTTGCCCTCCCTACAAACTGTGGTTTGGTTTGATATCTCAGCTGACGAAACACGGTTTGCAGTTGACTGGTGAACCACAACCCATAACTAGCAAACCGACTCCAGATCATGCTTTGTGCTAACAGCAGGTTAGTGTAAGGAACATTATTCTTTTTGAGGCTCCATTAAACTCACCCTGTTAATGCTTGGGTGTACTAGTGGAAACATTTGGGGGAAAGTTTTTCAGCAGCTATGAAGGACTTGGCGGGAGGGAGAGCAGAAGGGGGGGGGATCTTCAACACCACACTGAAGTCCTAGATTTTGCAGACAAAACAAGTTGGACTTGTGCTTACTGAAAGTCAGTCCCACTGAACTAAGCGGAACGGACCTCCCAGCAAATGTGTCCGGGGTCATGTCGCTTCTCTTCGTTTACCTCATCAAAAGGCTTCTCAGCTCATCTTAAGCTTTCCTGTGTTTCCCACAAATTCCAACTTGTTTCATTGCTGGGGAGTTTATTTTTTTAATCATCTATTGATATCTTGCTTTTTTTCTCTCCCCTTGCTTTCCTAGTCTGGCGTATAGGAGTAAAACATACGTCCAGTGCCCTTTCATCTCTTCAGCCCTGATGCTTCTGAGGCAGGTCATTGCAAATCCCCCCTTGGGGTGCTGAGCGCTGCAAGAGAAATCCCTTTCCAATCTCTCGTGTCGCCATCTCCGTATGTTTCTCCTGACAAATTTCTGTGTGCCTTTCTTTCATTCTCCTCTCTCTCTGTCTCTCTCTGTATGCTCCCCGCCTGTGCTGTTTGCCAGAGGCCCTGGGGTTCACGTCTAACTGCATGATTTCCTAGGAATGTCAACAGCAAATTATAATGAATTGCTACCAAGCTTGTCCTAAAAATAAGTTTTGTGTTTGCTGGTAGAATTAATCTTAACTGCAGCAATATTTTCTGCTGCTTAATAAGCCTGTTTTTAATAGCGTGTTCAAAGCTTGCTTCCCGTGAACCCCTCCCCCACCAAAAAAAAACACCTTATGGTGCTTTTGAGTTGTCTGTGATGTTCAGATAGTGCATGTTAAATTGTGAACTGCTGAAGAAATGACGAATACCACAAAATAAAAGAGAGAGCTTCTCTAACACACATATTACAGGGCTATTTTTGGGCAGGAACGCACAGGAACGGAGTTCTGGCTGGCTCCTGAGTTGGCCACGCCCAGCAGGAACTCATTAGCATAACAGGTCACACCCAGCAGCAGAAACTCATTAGGATTGGCTACATTAGGGGTGTGTGGCCTAACATGCAAAGGAGTTCCTGCTACAAAAAAAGCCCTGGGTTTTGACAAACAAGGTAAACAGAATAAGAAGCAAAAGGTGGGTGTGGCTGGATGACCACACTTCTGGTAACACGGGGGTGTGGCCTAATATGCTAATGAGTGGTGCCATCAGGGTGTGGCCTATTATGCTAATGAGTTCCTGCTGGGCTTTTTCTACAAAAAACAGCCCTGCACATATACCTTAGAACAGGGTTTCCCAGATTTCCAATAGCCTTGTCTAATCACAATCATCGGTGTAGTACACTATTCCATCCTGAGCAACCAAAGGTTAAATTTTGCAATACGTAAAATTATTATCCTTGGTGGAAACTCCCCTTGTGTCTCTTGGACACCACCTCATGATTATTTCTTTATTTATTTAGAATCCCAGAGCTGTGGAATGCAGCCGCACAAATGGGAGGACTCCCGGGAGAGCGAGCGTACTTCCGTGGCATCTTTGCACTGGAATCGAGTCAGTGCAGAGAGCCCCATCCTGGCCCATAGCTACGGTGGGGCTATTGGGGGCTCCGCCCCCTTCCTTAAATCCCTCCCCCCCCGCTTCTCCCCCAAAGCATTTAAAGGGAACTTTTAAATGCTTTTGAGAAGAAGTGGGGGCGGGGTGCATGCCCTCCCCCTGTCCTCCTGCAAGATTTAAAGGGCCCTTTATTTCTTGCAGGAGGGATGGAGGGAGAGGGGCACGCGCCACCACCCCTTCGTTATGGCAAATAATGGCAGCCCTCCCAGAAAAACCATGGGCCCCCCCTAGCCACAAAATCCTGGCTGCGGGCCTGACCCCATCCCCAGTGGGAGGTTGATTGGATGGAGGCCGGAACAGAGTGAATCATGCAGGTGGTCTCCTTGAGTCCACAGTAATCCTTCAGTGTCTGACTCCCAAGTATACGCTCTGTACTATAACTCCCAAGCGCACCCAGCAAAGATCTGTCCTTGCTCCCACCATGCTCTGTGAGTCCAGTGTTACAATTGAGGGAGCCACAGAACAGAATCCAGCCATCGCGATGCCGCTGTGAATCATGAGGAGTCTAGGTGGGGAGACGTTTAAGACGGCAGGTCTGAGTGAAAGGAAGGAGATGGGGGAATGACAGACTGCGTGCTCTCGGAGGGAGAAGTTGGGGCTCTTGAGAAGAGACGGAGAAGCTGTGGGAAGCAGGAGGATGTCAGGTGTTCTTATGCCTTCTCAGTTGCACAAAGGCTTTCTCCTGCAAAGAATCTTAAATTTAAGAACTGCCTATTCCTAAGCTGCGGTGGCTCAAGTGGTTAAGACGCTGAACTGCAGGCTGTGGAAGGTCGGTAGTTCAGCAGTTCGAGACCCGAGTGTGCCGCATGATGGAGTGAGCTCCCATCTCTAGTTCCAGCTCCTGCCAACCTAGCAGCTTGAAAGCAAGAAATTGCAAGTAGATAAATAGGTACCACTTCGGTGGGAAGGTAACAGCGTTCCGTGCGCCTTGGCGTTTAGTCATGCCGGCCACATGACCACAGAAACGTCTTCGGACAGCGCTGGCTCTTCGGCTTTGAAACGGAGATGAGCACCGCAACCCTAGAGTCGGATTCGACTGGCTTTCGAGCAAGGGAACCTTTACCTTTACCTATTCCTAATGGGTGGGTAGAGTTCAGGAAAGATACAGAGCTTTAGTGTTAACAGTGTTCCAATTCATAACCTTCCCAGTCTTAAAGGCTCAAAGTGCCTTTTTAAAGAAAAGGCTTTTCACCTGAATAAAGTTACCCACATCCTGGACTGTCCCAATGAGAACCCCTCAGTTGTTTTAACTGGTTCAACGTGCCCTCTGCCCACCTGTTCTCCTGTTACTCAGCATTATATGCATAAATAAAGGCACCAGAAAGGTATCTTCCCATTGATTGTACATTTTAAAAAAAGTTTTTCAAAGGGTGAGAATCCAGGCTTGCACTTGCTTATCAAGTTGATGGGCTGTTCACAAGACGAAAGGCTGAATGCCAAGGAAGATGTTCTTATGTTCTTCACGTTTACAGGAATATATTTTGCTAGCCAAGTGAAATCTAAACATCCGTATGATAAACAGTCATTCTTTTCCGGACTTTCGGCATGTCATTTGTGTCAGGAGCTTCATGTCCATGAATGTTAATATCACACAAAGCTGCCATATACTGAATCAGAACATTGGTCCGTTGAACTGCCTGGCTAAGTTCCAGTGCATTACTTTGCACATGAGTCCGACATGTGTATTTATGAATCATGCATTGCTGCTCTCCATGGGTTGAATACACATGAAGTCACCTTATAGAGAGTTTGGTGTAGTGGTTAGGAGCGCAGACTCTAATCTGGGAGAACCCGGTTTGAGTCCCCATTCCTCCACATGCAGCTGCTGGTGTGACCTTGGGTCAGTCACAAGTTCTCTCTGAGCTGTTCTCTCAAGAGCAGTCCTCGAGAGAGCTCTCCCAGCCCCACCTACCTCACAGGGTGTCTGTTGTGGAGAGGGGGAAGGGAAAGGAGATTGTAGGCCACTCTGAGACTCCTTCAGGTAGTGAAGGGTGGGGTATAAATCCAGTCTCTTCTTCTTCTATAATGAATCAGACCCACTGGTCCATCAGGGTCAGTCTTGTCTACTCAGACTGGCAGTGGCCCTCCAGAGTCTCAGGCTGAGGTCTTTCCCATCACCTACCACCTGGTACTTCCAACTGGAGATGCCAGAGTTTGAACCTGGAACCTTAGCTGGGTTTTAGAAGACATGTTTTGCTTGTAATGTGTAGTTCAGAACCAAATGAGAAAGGATGACTGCAACAAGGTCCTTTGAATTGCCTTAATAACTTCCCATGTTTAACATTCCTCTTCCGAAATCTGTGCCAAGGTGTCAGCTTGCTCGGCTCGTGCGTCATTGCATTTTGTGATGCAGGGAGTGTAGTTGTGCTGACACGGGAAAGCTCCGGCTCTCGCTTGGAGAGGGCTGGATAACATCAGTTTCAGTCGCTGCAAAAAGCGATAAGCACAGGCAGGAGAACGGCAAGAACAGGCTGTGTTTTACTAGGGCTCTGTGTGCTAGAGCCCAGGGGGGTGGGGTGCCTAAGATGGGCGGGGGTGCGTCCCTCTCTTTATCCATTGTCAGAATGCAGGCTGCTTTTCGAGTTCAGTACATCTTTAAGGATTGGCCTGAGGGGTGGGCCTTGACCTGTGTAGCCCAGGTTAGCCTGATCTTCTTAGATCCTGGAAGCTAAGCAGGGCTGGCCCTGGTTAGGATTTGGGTAGGAGACCACCGAAAAAGCCCAGGATTGCTACGGAGAGGCAGACCATAGCAAACCGCCTCTGTTCGCCCCTTGCCTTGAAAACCCTACAGGGTCACCATAAGTCGGTTGTGACTTGACGGCAACCTTCCACCACTATGAAGGGTGGAGTGGGCTTGATGGCATTAGGAACAAACATTCCAAGCAGACATATATTTTTATATATAAAGCCCTACTGGATTGTAACTGGGGGGCCATGGTCCCACTAGGCCTTTCAGATGTGCAGGTGTGTTGTGCAGGATTTTACCCCCAGACCTGTCCCCAGGCAGCCCTCTCTTGACATACTTCCGAAGATCCTCTGACTAGAAAAAGCATTTCATGCGTGTTGGTGGAGCAAACCCCCCCACTGCATGTGCAGATCTCCCAAAGTGGCTCTTGACATCAGGGCAGGAACCTTTCTTCAGAAATATAGTTGTTTTTGCCCTGACCTGGATAGCCCCGGGAAGCCTGATCTTGTCAGATTTTGGAAGCTAAGCAGGGTCAACTCTGGCAAGTACTTGGATGCGGCGGCCCCTATATGAAAGCCTGGTGGAAGAGCTCCGTCTTGCAGGCCCTGCGGAACTGCATAAGGTCCCGCAGGGCCCTGATCTCCTCCGGGAGCTCGTTCCACCAGGTAGGGGCCGCCACTGAGAAGGATCTCGCCCTGGTCGCAGCGAGTTTTGCCTCCTGAGGACCTGGAATCACCAAACAGTTTTGGGTCCTCAACCGAAGTGCTCTTGGGGGTACGTACGGGAAAAGGAGGTCCCTCAGGTAGGTCGGACCCTGACGGCGGCATCCGACGGGCATCCACCGTCGGTGCGCGCAGCAAAGAGGACACCAGCGCGATCACATGACAGGAATCCAGAGGCAGCCCGTGGCAAACCATTTGCTGGTAGGTCGATCCTGGTAGCTTTTAACCATGCAGCTTCGGCGGCTTGCCGCAGGTTGGCCACGGGAGTGCTACACCTCCCAGATGTTCTGGTGAGATCGCGCCCAGAAAATCCGCAGGAGTATCGTGCCTTCAGCGGGGCAAATGCTCCGTGTGACCGGGGCTATAGTTGTTTTTGTGATTGTGTGAAGAGACCTTGCTAAAATAACCAAGTTGTAACTGACACTTTTTTATTTGTTTTCTTTCTTTTGGACCCAGTTCGCAAGAGAAGAGTGGAAGGAGACCACCAGTAAGTCGTCTTGGTGTCTGACGGGCACCGTTTGGAGGATTCAAACCTTCTCAAGGCATATCTGCTTCGCTCGGGCAATCTCGAGTCTCCTTTTTTACCTGGGTAGAAGGGAAAAGACTGGAATCACCATTCCTTTTATTATTATTATTATTTTTTTTTTTTAAGTATTGATATGCGTGGTAACCAACACATGTATGTTTGAAACCTTGTAGTCACATCTGCCCAAGGCCGGGTTTTGAAAACACTTCAAGACTTGGGTCAGTGTTTTCCACTAAGGTAAATACCAATTCTAGAATCTCTGCGATAGCTACCTAATATCCAGCTATAAAGATCAGTGGGCAAATTTGGAGAGATTTGGGGGAGGGTGTCAGTCAGAAAATCTGGAGTGCTCGATTAAATATTGTGAATTTGTATATTTGGAAAACAGTGTTTTATTGAAAAAGGGCTTCTTCCTGTGGGAACAAAAGACTCTTAAATACTTCCTTTGCCCTCTTTTTTCATTATATAAAGATAAATAATTTACAGTTAACCCCTTTTGTCTTTAATGCGCTCGGACCATTTAGGATACTTTCAAGATGACAGAGATTAAAACTTGAAATGTATAAGAGGAGATTATTCCGCTTCAAGGAGTGCTTTTGCTTTTTTTTACCTTTCGGGATAAACTACGCTGATTAACGTGGAGACAGAGGGCCTTTATGGGATTGTCTGACCAATGCTGGTTGGGGTGGCTTTATTATTTTCTTCTCCTGTTAACATACAGAACAAGACACCTCAGCATTTTGTTCTGTTATGCCTGTACTGGATGTATTTATGGACTTTAGTCTTTTTTAAAAAACCCAACAACCTTGCATTAACGTGGTATTGGATTATTTTCCTAGAAATGTAAAGATTATAGATGCCATCTGAAGCGTCAGTATTGGCCTGTGAAACATAAGGCTCTCGAGCCAAACACCCCAGATATGGATTGCGACACTGGACGCTTAGTAAGCCCTGTTTTCTGTGGGCGAGGACATGGGATACCTGATTGCGTGTATCTTCTGACAGGCAATTATCATGCATTCTGGAACACCAATGACCTGTGGGTGTCCAGGTGTTGCAAGAGGACTTAATGGTTTTAAAACGAGACAGTTTAATAACAACACGTGCTTGATTCAGCCTTTTGAACAAATCATCCTTCCGGAGGCTGACACGTAAGATGGCTCCTGAATTTTATGACGGGAGCTTTGCAGCCACTGTGAAATAAAGCATAGGCTAAAGTTGCCGCTACATTCTTGCCGACCACTGGTGTTTTGGGGTGGTTTTTTTTACAGCTTCACATTTTTTCACATGGATGTGCAGGGCACAATCTTGTCAAGCTGGTCTTTGTATGATAATGGAACACAAGCGGCAGCAGCATGGGTTGAACCCACTCACTCAGACAAATGGAATAAGACTCTTTGGGCTGCATTCTGATGAAACAACGAACCATGGTTTACCATTACGGGAGTGAGCCTTGGAAGATCCCTCAGGGCACATGCTTCCTCCTCTTGCCATAAAGCTTGGATACTGATGATTTCCTTTGTTTGCAACAGGCCTCAGTTGCCCGTTATGCCTGAACCACAAACTATGGTTTGTAGGCAAGGAAAAAGCTATAACTTAGGGCTCAAGAAGGCTGACAAACTGTGGTTCCTTGTAAACCAAGAAGACATCAGCTCCAGAGTTGTAAATGAGAGGGAGGGAGCCCAAGGACTGCTGAGGCTTATTCTCATCTGAATGCAGCCAAAGAGTTCGTTCCCATTCACTTTAAGTTCAAAGTTTTGTCTTGGGAAAAACTTGTCAACGAATGTGGCCCCTAATTCAAGCACGACGTGTCTTATTTTATCTAGTTAATTTTTTTGACTGTGCTGTTTGATGTTGACTGTGCTGTTTGATTACGTAGAGCAAAACCGGCAGATCATAATTCAAGCATTTTTAGTAGAGATGAGTTGCATATATTTTTATAATCACTTGATACCTGCCTTTGACTTGCTATTGTACATAAAAACTATCTTAAGTGGAAAAGGTTTCTGATTATCTGCTTTAGTTGGAAGTAAGTTCCTTTGAAATCAGTGGGGCTTTCTGCCGAGCCATTGAACTGCCCCAAAAATGTTTGGCGTTGGGTTATTTTCTTTCCCCCCCCGTTTTTTGGGTTGTCATCCCCACACCATAGTCCCTTGTTTTTGCCTGAGTCATTGAACCGAGCACTGAGGCAAGAGCTGTTTGCTACACAGCAAAGGGCAGGCTGGGGCAAGGTCGCGTTGCATCCTTAATGTACAAACATATCAACGTTTTTAATTTTTGCCGTGCCTGCCTGTATGCTAATCGAAATCATACTTGATTTTTAAAATGATTTTTGGGAAACAACTCCATCCTTTCTTCACTTGTCGAAACAGTTCCAACGACTTAAGGAATACAATGTAGTTCCACCGCATCAATAAATGTTTTTGAAAATGTCCAGAGCATGGATAATAACAATGTGTGTCGGTTAAAAGAGCCAGGATGACTTCTTCTGAAAAAACCAAAGACTGCCAGTGCCACGTCACACTTTCAGTACCAGAAGTAGGTCCTTTTCTTGGTCTTGATTTACAAAATGCTTGTCGGCTTTGCAGGGTGCCCCGTGTGTAGGTTGCACCCTGTGAGGCCTTCACCAGCCCTGTTTTTTGTGGCCTAACAAACCTAGTTTTATCAAGCCTGCCCATCATGGCTGGTGACCCAAGAGACTGCAAAGTGCCAGCTCTGGTTGGCAGCATGTTTTGTTTTCGCCCTACAGGTTGGACTCCCATATTCAGCATGCGTGTTGTTTTTTTAAAAAAAATGGGGCCACGGTCCCAGACTTGGATACTTCTGTGCCCAGGTCGCATTGAAATCATTAGGATTTAACCATGCATGGGAAGCACTGCACTCAAAGAGTCTCTAATAGGTGGTGCTATACTCCTTTGACCAAAGAATGAGAATCACTTGTACTGTATCGCGGTGTCTGGAAATGGGGGGGGGGGGCGCAACGCACCGAGCCCTGCACCGAGCTCTGCCACAGCACAACTTCCGTTCATTCCAATGGGGGGGGCCTCATCCGTGGATTACTAAAATCAACAGCTGTTGCACAACAGTGCTTCTTTATGGCCGATCTTAATCTTTTCAGTGCCTAATACTATATAAAAGTTGTCAAAGCGGTCAGTAAACACTTCTCTCTCTTCTGTTAGGCAGGATCTATGTGGTCAGCAGACCTTGTTTTGTCTGTCTTGTCTGATTGGCTTTTGGTCTCATGACTACCAATACCACATTTGCAGTTGAAGTGGGTGGAAAGTACTTGTTCGGCTAAGCTTTTTCATCCTCTAGACTAGCTTCGTAGCATCATGATGATCGGAGAATTTAATGGCACATGAATGCCCTCCATAGAAATGGGAAGCCTGCATGTACGATTTCAGGATCTATGTGAGTGTGATAGTGGGGAAAACTAGGCATCCTTCACTTCTGTAGCTAGGACCACAGCAGAGTAACCGGAGATGGAAAAGGACTTTAGCCATAAAACTGTCCCTCCAAGTTGGGCAGGAGGAATATTCAAAAAGTTGAGATGCTTTTCTGGCTCTGGGATTGTAACCTTTATTTGATCTGTGGAAAATGAGGGCTTCTAAGCCATTGGGAACAAGCAAAATTATTTTTCTGATTTTGAACACATGCTGAGGAAGAAATAAAGCTTACTTTTAATGGCCTGTGTGATTGATATAGCCCTGCATACTATGCTGGTTCAGAAACAAAACATATACAAAGCTGAGCCAGTTTCTCAACAGGTGAAGCACTTGGTTGTATTTCACAGTCTAATGTTTAATGAGGAGAACTGCTTTTTATTTAAAACGTGCTCTTATTCTGTAAAATAATTAACCTCATATTTTGTCGATCATCTTAACTTCTGCTTTTAAGATCATGAATAGACCGTTTCCAGGACTATACTACCAAATAATGTGCTCACACACTTAATACTGTTTACAAATGTTATCTTTCTCTGTTTTTTGATACAAGTAATACTGTTTGTAAGCTATCAGTTATAGATTCTGTTTTGGATGAAGCGTCTGTTGAGGAAACGGGAATGCATCCGAATGCCAGCACTTGTATGCTGTCATTATTGTAATAAAAGTACCCAAGTGAAATTTCTTTCCCAAGTATTATTACCCCAAAAGCAAACATTTATTTATTCAATGTATTTTTTGGCCCGCTTTTCAGTCAAAACCCCTGTTTCAGAGCAACTTGTATCAATTTAAAATTCAGTACATAGTGCCGATGGCAGGTACCAGACATAAATGAAAATAAGATTAAGGTTAAAAGGAAATGGAGGAGAAAGGAAGAGGAAAAATGATCAGTTTGACAATTCCAGTAGTTATATGATGTCTGCTAATGAGAAAATATATATCATCTGGCCCCTCCTGTTACCTCTCTGTTACCATCTGTACCATGCTCTTCAATGTTCAAGGACACAGAATGATAACTGCCTTGGTCTACCCAAAGCAGGTTATTTAGAATCTGGAATCCCTTATGGGATCTAGCCCTTTCTGCTTCAGATTTTCTAACACCAGGGCACCATTGTAATAGTTGTGATGTAGGAGGAGGAGGAGATTGGATTTATACACCGCCCTTCACTACCCAAAGGAGTCTCAGAGCGGCTTACAATTGCCTTTCCCTTCTCCTCCCCATAACAGCCACCCTGTGAGGTAGGTGGGGCTGAGAGAGATCTTTCGGGAACTGCTTGTGAGAGAATAGCTCTGAGAGAACTGTGACTGACTGAAGGTCACACCAGCAACTGCATGTGGAGGAGTGGGGAATCAAATCCGGTTCTCCCAGATTAGAGTCCACGCTCCTAACCACTAACCCACCACGCCATCGTTCAAGGATTAAGATTATAGTTTTAATCTTGATTTTATTGTTTTATTATTAATGTTGTAACCCGCCCAGAGAACCAAATAAATAAACAAATTAGCCTTGTCGGTAACAAAATGGATACTATGGGCTGCATCAGAAAAAGACGGATAACCCACAATGAAGTAATAGGTACTGTTGCTTAAAATGTAAAACAGCCCCGAATGATCCAGCAGACTGTTGTGAAATCCTGCTTTTACAAGAAAATCTCGAGAAATGTGAGGGGCATAAAGAAGTGGAAAATCATCCGTTGCTTAAAATGTATAACAGCCCCGAATGATCCAGCAGACTGTCGGGAAATCCTGCTTTTACAAGAAAATCTCAAGAGAAACGTGAGGGGCATAAAGAAGTGGAAAATCATGGCAGATTCTGACCCACATGGATTTTTGTTCCCCAGGAAACACCCATCAACTAGGCAACAGTTTCCT